GTTTTGTCAAAAGGTTTCAACTACTAGACTCTACAGGTACCTATTATCGTTTTAACTGTACGGATCTTTCCAGGTCAACCCCCCCTTGAAATTCTCTCCAAAAATCATAAAAATGCTACAAATGTTTGGTTAGAAGGAAGCTTCACACACCCTGGGGTGTGGGGACCCCTTAGTAAAGGTCCGACCATTTTTAGGGCAACCCAAAACCAATCCAATTTCATGGGATGGTTGTTAAGCACAAATACCTCGGTGCCTATTACTAAAGGACACCTGGGAAACCCAGTCCTGTGTGCCCCCAAAGGATATTGGTTCGCATACTTAGACCAAGCCAACAGGATTTGGGGATTAGGGTGCCTTGATTTAAGCTTGGTCAACACAAGTTGTTTTGTTGGCTTGTAATCCCCAATAACAACACAGTTTCAATCTTTCAGGGGAGCACTAACCCAAGTTCCCAGGGAGCGCTCAGCTAAAGGAAAAGAGAACCCATTACTGTCATAGCTTTAGGGGTCACGGCCTTGATGGGAGCCCTCGCTGGATTAACGGTGGGTGAGGTTCACACCAATGCTCAAGTCCAAAATCTATCCAGTGTTGTCCAAGTAGTCAGTACCAATTCAGGACAAAGTCTGTTAGCCTTACAGAGATCCTTGGACTCACTGGCCAATGTAGTCATGGACCACCGAATCACACTGGACTACCTCCTAGCTGAACAGGGAGGTGCCTGTGCAGTCGCAGACACTTCCTGCAGCATGTACATTAATGTTTCCGGGGAAGTAGAACTTCAGGCTTAGAGGATCCTTAAACAAGCTGAGTGGCTAACGACAGCCTATACGCAAATGGGTAACAATATCTGGAATCAAATCAAAAGATATTTACCTTCCATAACCTGGTTTCTTCCCGTTTTAGGACCTGCAATAACTATCTACCACTTTTATTTGGCCCCTGCTTGCTCAAAGCACTGGTTAAGTTTATGTCTTCCCGACTCCAGCAGTTTCATGTCAAATTAATGATGATGCAAGGGTTCCAGCGCATTCCCAGGTCTAAGTCCAATAGCCCCAACACAACTTTAGACCAGACAACAACCCAGTGTCAGCTTGAAGAAGTTACAGAAGAAGAGATCTCCGCCCCTATACCCTTCTAAAGAATCATGAGTATGAAATCTCTCGGGGAAATGAGACAGGGAAGGGTAAAAGGGACTGAGCCCCTAGGCAAAGAACCCTGAACTAAAAACATGTGCTTAACTAATGACACAAAACCCATTATCTTGGAACATGCAATAAAAAAAGAACAACCCACCCAGCTCTCAATGTACTTCCTTGGTAAGACGTTTTTTCAGAATAACCGGCCCAATCCGACCCCTGGAGCATGCGCAGACATCTGCAAGGTGACCCACAGACCTGCGAAAGGAATCAAGCTGGCACCATGGGGGAACTGCACAGGCACAGTACCCCATAATAAGTCCTGCCATCCAGTCCCAGGAACCTTTGTTATGGGTTCCATCTTGGGCTGCCTCCTGCACGTGTACCTAACCTTCATAACCTCCCACCTTTCATGAATAAAGATGATGCCTCTTCCCGCCTAAAAACCTTTATAAGCCCTAGCCAATCCTTTATTTGGGGAGACAAAGGCTAGCGTTGCATTGTCCCTCTTTGTCTCCACTCGCAAGCTACTTTTGCTCAATAAAGCTTTGTTCGTGCAGAAAACTTGAGCCTCTTCTGGTCATTCTTGGTCAGTAGAAGGCAAGAACCTCATAGGCGCTGCCCAGGTTGGGCAGAAGACCCTGGCAACAGGGGGAGGCACAAGCATCCAGAGTCCTCTCCTCAAGCAGTCACACAAAAAACAAAAACCAAACCCACTGCCATTGAGTTGGTTCCAACTCATAGTGACCCTGCAGGACAGAGCAGAACTGCCTGATAGGGTTTCCAAGGAGCACCTGGTGGATTCAAACTGCCCAACTTTTGGTTAGCAGCCGAGCTCTTAACCACTGTGCTGCCAGGGCTCCGGAGTCACACAGGAAGCACTCAATTCCCCCAGGAACGAATGTGACAACTCGTGTGAAGTGTTGTCAACCAGGAAGTTCATTAAAGACTCAGTGCCTAGGATTTTTACTGGGGGCTGGTCACGTAGGCACCCTCTGCCTGGCACTATCCAAATTCCAGACTCCCAGAAGGAAGGCAGGTGTTTGTACCAATAGTCTAGGCACAGGGAGCCACCCTTATCAGTTAGGGAATGGTGGGGACCCTCCTAAAATCCAAGTTCCCAGATGGCAAGTGAGGCCAGCCTTGTAAGTAGCCTTTCCAAGGATAACAGGTCTGCTGTCTTAGTTATCTAATGCTGTTATAACAGAAATACCACAAGTGGACAGCTTTAACAAAGAGAAACTTATTCTCTCACAGTTTAGGAGGCGAGAAGTCTGAATTCAGGGTGCCAACTCCAGGGGAAGTCTTTCTCTCTCTGCTGGCTCTGGAGGAAGGTCCTTGTCATCAACCTTCCCCTGATCTAGGAGCTTCTCAATGCAGGGACCCTGGGTCCAAAGGACACGCTCTGCTCCTGGCACTACTTTCTTGGTGGTATGAGGTCCCCCTGGTCTCTCTGCTCGCTTCTCTTTTATATCTCAAAAGAGACTGGCTTAAGACACAACCTAATCTTGTAGATTGAATGCTGCCTCATTAACATAACTGCCTCTAATCCTGCCTCATTAACATCAGAGGTAGGATTTACAACACATAGGCTAATCATCAGATTACAAAATGGTGGACAATTACGTAACACTAGGAATCATGGCCTAGCCAAGTTGAGACATATTTTTGGAGGACACAATTCAATCCATGACACTTGCTATGTTACCTTTTTTCTGCACACAGATATAAATATAAACCTAAAAGTATAAAACTTCTAGATAAAACCTAGTAGAGTGAAACCTGTGAGAGCTGGAACTTGACGGGACTGCCTTGTTTCTCCAGGTCTTGCAAGTTTTCTGCTTTTGACGGTATAGTCTTACCACTTTTCTGTCACTCTCTATTAGTGGAAAATATTTGACTTTTCCTTCTCTGACAGGTTTCCACCTTACACAGGTTCCAGCTTTCACAGGTTTTACTACAGCAAATCTTTGTGACCTTGGGCTAAGCAAAGATTTCTTCGATATGACACCAAAAGTATAATGCATAAAAGAACAAATTAATGAATTAAGAACCGCTCTTTAAAAAGTACTGTTACAAGAATGGAAAGAAAAGACACAAACTGGGAGAATATATTTGAAAAACACAAATCTGATAAAGGACTTCTATCCAGAGTTAAAAAAAAAAAACCCTCACAACTCAGTAATAAGAAAACAAATCTCTCAATTAAAAAGTGGTCAAAAAGTCTGACTAGACATTTCACCAAAGAGGACATACAGATGTCAAGTAAGCACATGAAAAGATGCTCAACATCAACAGTCACTATGGAAATGCACATTATACCACATCAAGACTCCACTACACAACTATCAGAATGGCTTAAAAAGAAAATACACACAATACCAAGTGCTAGTGGCAGTTTCTTGTAACTTAAACATACAAGCCAGCAATCCTACTCCTACGTATTTACTCAGGTGAAATAAAAACCAATGTTCACACAAAATCCTTTATACAAATGTTTATAATGGCATTATTCGTAAGCACTCTAAACTGGGAACCCCCCAAATGTCCCTCCCCCAGTGAACGGGTGAACAACAAAGGTCCACCTACAGCAAGGAATCCTACTCAGCAATAAAAAGAAGCCAGTGACCACACAGATGCCTGGAAGGGACTCCCATGCATCCTAAGTGAGTACAGGAGAGGCCAACATCCAACACCCCAGGCCTGGAGCTCGGCAGTCCCTGACGTGCGTAAACTCTATTAAGGTCTGGGGTCAAATGGAAATGTTTTAGAAAAGGCTAGTCCAGCAGAGGGGACCGAAGGGTAGGAAGTCTGGGGGTGGGAAGGAGCAGGTCACTCGGCAGACACAGGACTTCCTGTGCTGCCCACGGCACTGTGTACTCAGGGCACTGTGACCCCAATGAAATGAGTGAGACGTGAAGCTGCTGCCAGTGGCAGGAAGCAGAAACTGATGGTCTTGGTCAGAATGCAGGCAGCCCTGGCCCGAGAGGGTGCTCTACACAGACTAGGGCAAGTACCTGAGCGCTGGGCTCTACTTCCTTCACTGTCTCCCCAGGTGATCCAGGCAGGGGTGTAGGGGTACCAGAGTAGGGTGAGGTGGATTAATTTCTTTTGTGTGTGGCATTTCTAGCCATGGTCTTGTAACTCCCACCCAGGTGATTTTGTGATAGGGTAATTGTGGCCTACCAAGGAGACTGGTCAGTTTTGCCTTAAAAAGAGAGCCAATTCCAGAGCAAAGAGGAGAGCCCAAAGAAGGAGAAACCTGCAGCAGGGACTGGCAACAGAGACCTGCAGGAGACAGTGCAGTGGCTTCCCAGCCCACAGAGTCAGAAAGCTGAGTGCCTTTGAGCAGAGTCTGAGGGCCAGGGAGAAGTCTACGCCTGACCCATGAAGTTGGGACTTGCCAGCCTCCACAACCACGTGAGCCATTTCCTTTGTGTGGTTTGTGAATTCTGTGAGACGTTGCAAAGAATTAGGGAACCTAAAGACAGGAGGGAGAGTACTGAGGCAAGAGGGAGTAGTTGATGTTAGACATGATGGAGTGGTACAGCAGCTTGGAAAAGGTAGACATTTGGGACATCTGTAACCTCTGCCTCATAGGAACTAGCTTTGTACTGATCCTTATAAAAGAAATTATTTGTTTGGGGGGAAGCAGCCCAGAGGGGCTAGGCTGGCTGGTGAGTGCCTGGGAAGTCTCCCCTGGTCTGACGGCCTGGTCCAACAGGGCAGCTGCCTCAGCATCCCCTCCAGCATCCCGTCATCCCCTCTACTGTCTCTTCTAGCCCGAATGCTGCTGCCCTGCAGATGGGCCCACACGGAGGCTCAGAGTGTGTAGGGGTGGGGCAGGCGAGGGAACTCTCCTACCTGGCAGGCGGGCCGCGGTCAGGGGGTTGGACAGGGCCATGCCGATCTCTGTCATGCCATACCTCTCCAGCAGGGTGTGGCCTGTGATGTCCCTCCACTTCTCCAGCACCGGGAGGGGCAGTGCAGCCGAGCCGGAGACCATCAGCCTGCGCGACACGAGCAGAGGTGGCCAGCTCTGAAGGAGCTCGGCTGCAACATAGAGGACAGCTCCACCTCAGGGCCCAGAAAACACATATCACTCTTTATAGAGTCGTGATAAAAGCTGTAGTTCGGGCTAAAATTTAACTTTACTCTTTGATTTCCGTACGTATGTTTTAGGATTATAAATAGGTCTTCAAAGGTAAAAGAAAAACATTTTCTTAGGGTCTTTGGTGGCACTCGTTTGCACATAATTAAGATGCTGTTCACGAATAGTCCTAAATAACAGAAATAATAATACTGAGAATGATGATAAGATATAATTTTCGGAGAAAGCACCACTCTGAGTGGAGGAGGGTGCAGCTGAGATGTGTGCCCTGAGCTGGAACCTGCGGGAACCTCCCTCATGCTCAATGGCTTCATAACGCGGAGAAACAAATGCAGCAGCACTTGCACCACGTTCAGGAGCCCCTGCGCTGCATTCTCGTACTTCGTTTTCTCTTATGCATTATGGCAAAGAGGACTGCTTCTTCCCAGCTCGAGTTGGAGCGTGGACACACACGGATGGCACCACAGCCCTGCCACGGAGAACACCCTGACTACCTCTCTGCCAATCTCCTTCTCACATTTGTTCTTTAGCGTCGGTACAACTTGCCCCTCACCCCAATCAGATCCGTGCCCAGAGCATCTGACGCCCATTCCAACAAGTGCCCACTACACATGGGGGGTCAGGTGTGGCCACAGCAGGAACAAAATGTCTTTACGAAAAAGGAGCAAAGGAAAGGGAAATGGGAGCAACACGCAGCCATACCAAATACTTTTCCTGGACAATCCAAAATTCACCCTGGGAAACAGTTCCCCTTCCTGTGCTCACCCCAAGGACTGGGAACCAGAGGTGTGGTCTCCAGTCTACAGGCTCATGGTGAGTGCTGAGCAGACACTACACAGCTGACCACCCAAAGGATCAGCTCCTCACTGAGGAAGGGCCTTTGTAGAAGGCAGTGAGGGGGAGGAGGGAAAGGGGAAGGCAGGGAGGGGGAGAAGGGAGGAGGGGAAGAAGGGAGGAGGAGAAGAAAGGAGGAGGAGGAAACGAGGAGAGGAGAGGAGGGAGGAAAGGGAAAGGAGAGGGAGGAGGGGAAAGAAGTTGGGGGGAGGAGGAGGAAGCAGGTGGGTTGGCAGGAAAAGGTCAGAACACGCCTAGCCAGGGATGCCTCAGTGACTGGCAGTCTGAGGTTGGAGAGAGACAGCACAGTGGGGGCGAGAGTTACAGCCAACGTATGTCTGAGGACAGGGGAGGAAGGGTGTGGCCACCACTCGCAATTGTGTTTCAAACTCTACCACAAACATGTATGCATAAGTACAGATGTTCCAAGGGGGATGGAAAACTGCTTCCTGACACAGCAGAGCTGATTTTCCAGAAACAGGTCTCACCTGATTTTCTCCTTACAAACTGCACGCACATACTCCTGGACGTGAGGCTGGGTGAAATGCTTGTCGTAATAGTCTATCAGTTTGGAGTAGATTGTGGGCACTGCCATGAATACATTGACCCGTGGAGTTTCAGAACTCAAGAACTTTTCCCAAACCTCAAAGGAACGAAGGAAGCAAACAGATATAAATTTCAAAACAGAGACACACACAGACAAGCCCTGAGCACTTCCCCATCCCAGTTGTGGTGCCCTTCAGGACACAGGCCTGTCCTTATTTTAAGCATTAGAGATTCTGTAGGCACAACCCTTGGCCTGTTCTCATGGAGTCGTCCTATAAGGGGGCTGAATTGTGTCTGGACCACAGAGGTGACTGTGTGGAGAAAGAGCAACAAGGAAAAGAGCCCGGGGCAGGAAGGTTCTGGTCTCAGGTTTCCACTCCATAGACATGTCTAGCTGTGCACAGTAGACACGTCTCCAGGAAGCTGGCATGTAGCCCGAGGGGCCATCCCGGAGGCCAGTATGTCCCTGTCAGCCAGTACCGGGCCTGGCACCGACAGGCACCAACAAGTGTGAGTGGATGAGAGCTTTTGTTTCATCCAAAAACTTGATGGGAACTTTGTACCTTACCCCATAATAACTGTTCCTTGTTTTAACATAAAAATGTTTTGTATTTCTCACCAGTTAAATTTCTCACGTTTCACCCCCTAAATCTTGGAGAAAAACAGGTGTGTCATGTTTATTCTGGGCCCTCCCCCAGAGAATGTGCCATGGGGTCCTGAGCCCGGTGTTACAAATGAAGTTGCTCTTTCTCAGAGGATGAGACCAAGGGTCAGAGAGGCAAGGGCTTACACTCAAGCCTGCCTGACCATAAAGCCAGTGCTTGCTGCGCCTCGTGACACGGTGTGTGGGTTGAGACACCAGGTGGCAAAGAAAGAGGACGAGACTTGGGAGACTTGACTCTTGCCTGCTGGTAAGAACAGAGAGGCAGCATTCTGGTAAGTGAGGAACACAGCAAACCAGGACCCTCAGCTTCAGAGGGTCAGAGGTTCAGAGCTGCTTAGAGAGACGCTGGCCAAGCAGGCCTTCACTCAGGGGTCACAGCAGGAGGTGGGACATGGGGTACAGAGGGAAGTGTTCCCTCCTTTGCGGACAAGTCTGTGTCCGCAGGGAAGTCTCTCCTCTCTGAACCTCAGTTTCCCCAGTGGTGAAACAGGAGGAAGGAAAAATTATCATTTATTAAGAACTTGTTATATATGCCAGGCACTATGCAAATTAAGTCATGTTTATTGTCTGATTAGCACTCCCTGGGTGGCACAAATGGTCAATGTGCTCAGCTACTAACCAAAAGGTTGGCAGTTTAAACCTACCCAGATGTGTTTTAGAAGTCCTGGCAATCTGCTTCTGAAAGGTCACAGCCTTGAAAACCCTATGGAACACAGTTCTACTCTGACACACATGGGGTTGCTATGAGTCAGAGTCGATGGCAACTGGCTTTCTGACTTTTGTACCCTCATAGACAAGGGCTGGGGAGGGATAAAATGTCTAAAACGGGGAAAGAGCAAAGAAAGATAAAGAAAGGAGCCTCCAGCTGCATTACCCGCTCTGAATCACTGAGAGCTGGTGCGGTTGGCAGAACAACACCCAGAGAGGCCCGTATCCTCATCCCAGGACCTGTGAATGTGACCTCACGGGACAAAGGGTCTGTGCAGGGGGAGGAAGAAGGTCTGAGGGGGTGTCCTGGATCACCATATGATCACAGGGCTCTCACAAGGCAGGCAGAGGGGATGTGACACAGAAGAGGTGGCCACATGACCACAGAGCAGCAAGTGGAGGACGGCCCGAGCCAAGGATATGGCAGCTGGAGAAGCTGGAAAAGGTGAGGAACAGCCCTCCGCCCAGCCTCCCAAGGACCAGCCCAACCACACCTCAACTTCAGGGCCTTGGCCTCTAGGATTTTTCAAGAGTGAATGTGTATTGTGTAAACACTGAGCTGTATTGTCTGTGATAGCAGCCACAGGAACATACACAGCCTTCAAAGTCCACACCCAGAGCATGCCCACCTGGGCCTCCCCTGCCTGGAGCCACCCCACTCACCTGCTCGGCACTGAACTTGGGCAGCATCACACAAACTGCACCCACCCAGAGTGGGCAGAGCAGCTTGTTGACCACACCGTGGACGTGGTGTAGCGGGAGCACGTGCAGGATGACGTCGTCTGGTGTCCACGTCCACTTATCCACCAGCCCTGTCACCTGCAGGGTGACACAGGTGCCAGTGAGAGGGGCCAGGGGCCAGCACACAGCCCTGCCATGGTCAGAGACGGGGAGCTCGAAGGAGGGGGTGGGGGAGGCAGGACTCCAGGGCCCGTGTGGGGACACGTGCAGGACGCTCCTCTTAGAGATGAGATGTAAGAAATGAGCTCTACAGATAAAAAGGATGACCTCTTATAGAAGGTAATGTGATGTCATCAGTCAGGCCAGCAGCCAGAGCTAAGCTCAATACTGACTTGTGGTGGCCACATCAGCTAAGACTATAAGCAGTCTATTTCCTGCTTTCCTCTTTGTGGTCTTGAGCTTTCATTTTTATTTCACTGGTTCTACGGTATCTGGGTCTCTTTGTGTACATATAAACACTACTTGGAAGTAAGCAGAGCATAGATTATAGACAAATAAACTGGCTGGGGGTTTTACAAAGATGGTGATTAACATAAAAATAATGTACATGACACAGGAGTATGTAAGAGTGGTTCTTTCTTCTGGGTTTTCCCACATAAATATAAATTTTAGGTCCTGGTCACATACCCTGAATACTCACTTCATGGCTGATCTCTTTGGGAAATATCTGACAATCATCTGTGGTGGTCAGCTCTGGGCGGGTCACTCCACGGGCACCTGGGCCCCTCTGCATGACCCCCAGTCCCACAAGCAGAGTTGGCTCCAGTAGCCGGCCTGTACTGGCCATGAAACTGTTAGCCATGCTGATCATGACCAGCTACGCCAAGTGTTCAATTAGGCTCGGTAGGGTGGGGACAGCGCCGAACAATCCCCCAAGCCCACCTTATAGTGGATGCCATGATTGGCCTCAGAGACACAGCACACCCCCACTGTGCTGTACGGACTCACCATGGAGCTGACATTGCAGTGGGTGCTCAGGACGCCCTTAGGCAGGCCCGTGGTGCCGCTTGTGTAGATGATCATGGCGCCCCGCTCCTTCCAGCCCCACTCCTTCCAGCTGGGTGCTGGCGCCTCTCCTCCCACCAGGCCCTCTGCTGCCCCAGAGTAGATGTCAGGGAGAAGCGGCAACAGTGGGACCCCCAGTTTGCTGGCCACGGTGCCCAGGAGCTCTAGGTGCTCTGGGCCAGCCATGACCACGGAGCTCCGGGAGTCCTGGATGAAGTACTCTAGCTGGGCTGCAGGATGCTTGCTGTGCAGCGGGACTGCAACGCCACCGCTCATCCATGAAGCCCACTGCGCCACGATGTAGGAGGCGTCGTTGGAGCACATGAAGGAGATCCGCTCCTCACCCAGGTCACCGCTGGTGCATGCCCGAAGCCTGCAGATCTCCTGGGACAGGCGCAGGCTCCGTTGGTACAGGTCCTTGTACGTGTGGTGGCCATGCTGGTCCACAAGGGCTGTCCTGTCCCCGAAGGCCAGGGCTCGGGTGAACACTGGGGCGCTGCTGTCAGGGCAGGTGGTTGAGGCCGTATGCAGAAGGCCCCGCCCTCTGTGTTTCAGAGGAGCTGGCCAGCCGGAGGCCCAGGCCCATGCCAGGCGCCGGAGTGGCAGGGTCACGAGGGGGCACATTGTACCGACAGTGCTTCTACTCAACTTCTGGGGCTGGTGCTGAAACAAAGAAAGGAGCGTATTACCAAATGAAATGTGTGCCCTAAAAAGATATGCTCGGGTCCTAACCCTAGTACCCGTGCGTGCAACCTTGTTGGGGAATAGGGTCTTAGAAGGTGCTATCGGTTAGGTTAACATGAGGTCATACCAGGCTAGGGTGGATCCTAATCCTATACGTCCTATAAAAGAGGAGAACAGACACAGAGAGAGGCCCCAGGCGCCAGCCCGAAGGCCCCTACAGGCACAGGTACTTCACAAGAAAGGGCAAGAACACTTTCCAAATTGCTTCAGACCAACGGCTGTTTACAGGTGAAGTCTACAACTCAACTCAAGGGTCAGTTGGCCTCTGTGAACCCACCTCCGTGCAGGGTAATAAGCAGGTGCCCCCAGAGCTAACACGGTTGTTGGGGTGAACGACAACCACTGACCCTGGTCTAAAGCCCCTGACCTGTCCCTGCAGGAACCGCCCATTCCTGCTGTGTGGCCTTTGGAAGCAAGAACATTTCAGTTTGCCTCTCCTCTGGGGAGAGCCCTCTGTCCTCTGTGCTCCTGGACAAAAGGAACTTCTGAGAGCCTGCCAAGGGCATCTGGGCCGAAGCCCTGAGCCTAAAACACCCACTCCCTCCATCCCTAGACACCCTGCATGGTAGATTCACAACCTAAAAGCTGTAAATCCCATCCCCTGCTCTGACAGGCCCAGGGACCCTGAAGGAGTCACCTGGCAAGGGTCTCTGCCATGCCAAGTGGGGGGAGGGGGCAGGGGAGCCACAGTCCCACAGGCCCTGCCTCTCGCCTGCACTGGGCACCTGCCTCTCTCACTTTCTCACCCGTCTCACACCCCTCCATGTCGCACGCCACAGTGCACATGTGGGCTCTTTGACAAATTCTCACTTTTCCCTCTTTCATTAACCTGCTACAAGGGAAAACTGACGTGTTATTGTTTGTCACATGTACTAAACAGTTATGTTCTCTAATCTTCATTTAAAATACAAATTACACACAACACTTCACAATTACCTAACAGAACAAACTCCACACAATAAAAACTACCAGAACTGAATTATGTTTGTTGTCCTCGATGGTATTGGTGTGTTTGTTTGCGTTGGCAGGACTAGGCTCCTAGAGGAATGCTTCTTGCCCCGGCCAGCAGATGGAGCACTCCTGCCTCCCTGCCGAGGTGGGAAGAACATGGACCCTCAGAGACCCCCCTCCTCTTGCCCACCTGGGCGAGCACCAAGGCCCCCTCAAAGCCTCTATCTCCGTTATACGTGGATATTCCTTAACTGTTCATCAGGCTCCGCCAGATAGTCAGCTCTCAAGTACACATGGCCCCACTGGAAGGCCACACTACTTCTGGGTCTGAGAAACAGATAAGCAGCAAAAAGTGTGCTGCACAGCTTCTCTGCGCCCTGCCCTCCGCAAGGAGCTCAGAGAGGGGTCCTCATCCTGTCTGCAAAGCCCTTGGTCTCTGCTGCCATAAAGAATTATAAGAAAGCAGCTGGGTCAGACCAGTGAAAACAAGAAATGTGATAAGATACTAATATGCCAGTTTCAGGAAGAAAGTAAACCAGTGAGAAGCAAACCAGGGCAGTTTTACCGTGATTCCTTTTCTCACTCCTAGCAAATTCTTCGCAATTTGCTTTGCAGGCAGGGGGGAAATGAAAACAAGAGAATCTGCAAGTAGAAACCCTCCTGCACGGTATTTCTGGGCTCTCACCCCAAGGCCAGATCTTTGCTGCTGAGAGAGCCAGAGATGTTCCAGGGTGTTGACTGGAGATGACGGTTTACAGGGTACTAAGGAACACAGTACGTGTGACAGGAAGGGGCTGCTGCCTGCACGTCCCCACAAAGCCTCAACTGCAACCCCCAAAGTGGCTAAATCCCCTTCCCTTAGTACCCGTTTCCAACAACCCTAACTGGAGCCCAGCACCTTCAGGGATCTCAGAGAGGAGGCTGGCCGCCTTTGAAACAGGGAAAGCTGGCGTTGGGACTTGCCGTGGAAAACAGAAGCAGGGGCTGTTTGCACCTGCCCTCCCTGCTGGGGCTTCTGTTTCTGAGCTGCAGGTGGCGGAGGGTGGTGTACAGCTGAGGTGCCTCCCATGGCCCCCTGGCTTCTGAAGTCCCATCTCCCTTGCGGACACATGGCACATTCTGACAGATCCTCCCTCGCATCTCTTAACCAAACAGTGAGCATATCATCAAACACCATAAATCCACTATGGCCGGGGGTGGGCAAGTGAGCAGGCAATCACAGCAACAACTCCCAACGGAACCTGAGAGGCAGAGTGACTGCCCAAGGCCACAGAGTTACAAGAAGAGGAGCAGAAGAGGTAGAGTGAACATGGCACCACAGACAGAAGCATCATGTCGTCCCTCTGCAGCAAAGACCCAAAAAACTAAGTAAAGCAGATACAAACGTCAATCCTGGAACCCTAAGCACCATATGAAGGAATAAAGAACTCGATCAAGCACTGAATGGAATAAGAAACTGACAGAGAACAAAGAACAAGGAGAGCTACGGAGTGGAGGTCCCCTACCAGCTAAGGCAGCATGGATTCGCCATCTTGGACTACAGCCATCAAGGAACACAGACAGGGAGTATGAGAAGGCAACTTCACAGAGCTTCCACACATAGCACCTAGTAACCAGGGATACATGCTTTCCCACCCCCCACCCTTCTTCCCTCTACTTGGTCTCCACCACTTTCGAACAGGCCAAGGTCACTTGGCCGAAGAGATACCAGTTCACTGTCACCTGGGTCCACCCTGCCCCCACTGGCCAGCCCTTCGGCGCCATTTTTGTTTTTGGTTTTTTTGTTTTTGGCTTTTTTTTGTTGCTTCCCTCTCCTTTCCTTTCTTCAGCCTACCTAGCCCCGTTAGCTGCCCCTACCCCTTCTCAACAGGCAGTGTTGCACAGCTCAGCTAAAAAGGCACTGGCACATGGCCTCCCTGGGTCTGGGCCACACCCAACATCTGGCTGTATCGGTGCCATATTTTTTTCTTTGTTGTTGTTTTTCTGCTCTCTCCATCTCTTCCTTCCTTTCCTTTCTCCCGTCCACCTGACACCATGTGCCATCCCCACCCCTTCTCGACAGACCCTGCTGCACTGCTTGGCTGGGGGGCCCCTGGCACATGGCCTCCCCGGGTTTGTGCTACCCCCACCAATCAGCTGGCTCAGTGCCATATTTTTTGGTTTGCTTGCTTTGTTTTTTTATTTTCTGTTTCTTCTCTCTCTCTCTTTTCATTTCTCCCACCCACCTAGCCCCGTGCACCGCCCCTGCCCCTTCTTTGTGGGCTATGCTACACCGCTCAGCTGGAGAATCACTCTGGTGCTTTGCCTCCCCGGGTCTGCACTGCCGTCACCAGGCTCCCTCAACACCATTTTATTTATTTTTTTGTTTGTTTTTCTTTTCTTTTCTTTTTTTGTTGTTGTTTCTTCTCTCTTTCTCCCTTCCTTTCTTTCCTTTCTCCCAGTCACCTAGCCCTGTGCACCACCCTCCCCCATTCTGGGCGGGCTGTGCTGTGCTGCTCAGCTGGAAGCCTCTGGCACATGGCGTCCCCGAGTCTGTGCCACCCCCACAGGCCAGCTCCCTCAGTGCCATACACACACACATATATATATATATAATTTTTCTCCTTCTCCCTCCCACCTAGGCCTGCGCTGCCTCTGACCCTTCCTGATGGGCCATGCCGTGCTGTCCAGCAAGAGAGACATCAGCTCGCTGCCACCCCAATTCTGCCCTGCCACCAATGACTGGCTCCCTCCCACCATATTTATTTTTATTGTTGTTGTTGTTTCTATTTAATTTTTTTTTGTTTGTTGGGTTCTTCTCTCTCTCCCCCCTTTCCTTTCCTTTCTCCCACCCACCTAGCCCCATGCACCACCCACATCCTTTCTCGACAGGCTGAGCTGCACCACTTGGCTAGAGAGCCACCGGCACATAGCCTTGCCAGGTGTATCCTGTCATGACCCGCTAAATTCTACCGTGCTGCCATTTTATTTATATTTTTTCTTTTTTCCTTTTTTTGCTTTTGTTTCTCTCTCTTCTTTCACTCACCCACTTAGTTCCACACATCACATTCTCTCCCCTCCCCTCCCTCCTGCCTATCTGCACTGTGTGCCGAGTGCCGTGCCTCTGAGTGATACCGACACAGTCCCCTGGACCCCACCCTGCACTGCCCCGGCCCCGCCCCAACAGTCCCAGTTGATGCCACAAACTACCCATCCCCACCCCTCCACACCCACTGGACCTGCCCTGCTGCACCATAGCTGAGTGACCAGCCCTGCCCACCTGGACAAGGTGGTGAGAAGTATCATGCCCACAGGCAAGCAAGCAACAAAGCCCAGCCTGCCTGCCCAGAAATAACCAAATAAAACAAAAAATCAGGATGAAACAAACAAATCTACAATCAATAAACGAAGAAAATAATTCCTGAATGTCCAAGAGACAGCAGACAATATCAAAACATATTAATAAAACAGGACAGGATGGTTCCAGAAAGCAACCAAAATAAAACACCAGATTCCCTTCCAGTAGGAGAAAAGCACTGGTATTACCTGAGATGGAATTCAAAACTCTAATATTCAGGGTTCTCCAAGAGATGAAGAAAAATGCAGACATAAATAAGGAAAAAATAGACAAAATCATGGAAAATACAGACAAAATCAGGGAAAACACAAACAAAGCAATGGAAGAGTTCAGAAAACAATACAGGAACAAAACGTCAAAATAAACAACTAGAAATCATATAAAAACAGCAATTAGAAATTGCAAAGATAAAAAAGATTTCAGAAATGGACAGTGCAATAGAAGGTTTAGGAATAAATTTGAAACTATGGAAGACAAGATCAGTGAAATTGAAGACAAATCCTTGGCTACCACTTTGTCTGAGGAAAAATCAGACAAAAGAATGAAGAAACCCTGAGGATGATGTGGGATACAATCAAAAGCAAAAATCTGCATGTGATCAGAGTTCCAGAATGGGGGGAGAAAATGGAAA